CGCGGTGACAAACAGGGCACCCATTGACGTATTTCTCGACCTCTCGTCGGATCTTGGGCCACCAAAAGTCTCCTAGCACCAGCTGCATGGTTTTAAAGATCCCGAAATGCCCTGTTGGCTTGGTGTCATGGCATAGTCTTAAAATTTCCTCCCGCTCGGGCCCGGGCGGCACATAAACCTTCGAACGATGACACAGCACCCCATCTAACTCTTGGAATGGGAACTTTAGTCCGGCCTCAAGTTGCTCTTGCACCCACAAGTCCTCTTGCTGTCGCGCTCAGATCCTTTCAGCCAGAGTCGAAGGAGACCCCGATCCGCCAGTGGACACAAAGTTTTCTGGGCGCAAAATGCAGGACTCAGAGGAATCTTTTTGGCCCCGAGTATACTCCGGCTTGCACGACAAAGCATCCGCCTGTTTGTTTTGAGCCGCTGGCACGTAGCAAATCCGGAAGTTGAATCTCTCAAAAAACAACGCCCAACGCTGCTGTCGTTGGTTTAACTTCCGGGAGGTACGGAGATATTTTAAATTGCGATGGTCCGTGTGGACTTTCACTGGTTGCATAGCACCCTCTAGCCAATGTCTCCAAGTCTCAAACGCCGACTTGATGGCTAGGAGTTCTTTTTCCCAAATGGTGTAATTCCGTTCTGGGGCAGTCAACTGCCAAGAAAAGTAGGCACAGGGCTGGAGATGATCCCCCGCAGGTTGTAGCAACACTGCCCCGACCGCCACATCCGATGCGTCGGCCTGCACCACAAAGAGCTTAGTTGGATCAGGATGTTGCAGGATAGACTGAGAAGTGAAAAGCTTTTTGAGCTGTTGAAAGCTTTCCTCAGCCGTCTCAGTCTATAGGAACGGTCGTTTGCCTCTCAGGCATTGGGTAATGGGGTCCGCCCAGCGGGCAAAGTCTGGGATGAACTTGCGGTAGTAGTTGGCAAAACCCATGAATCTTTGAATGTCTTTTTTGCTCATGGGGGACTTTTATTTTAACACCGCGGAGACTTTAGCGGGGTCCATGGAAATTCCCTCCGCAGAGATGCGATGTCCCAGGAAGTCCACTTTGTCTAGATCAAAGGCGCACTTTTCTAGCTTAGCATAGAGTCCATGATCTCTCAGGCGCTGGAGCACTGCACGCACTTGTTGCGCGTGATCACGTGGATTCGTGGAGTAGATCAAAAAGTCGTCCAGGTAAATGACCAAAAACCGGTCCAAAAAGTCACGAAAGATATCGTTGACAAAGTGCTGGAACGTGGCTGGAGCGTTACAGAGCCCGAAACTCATGACCATGTATTCGAAACTTTCGAAACGGGTCTGGAAGGCTGTCTTCCACTCGTCCCCTTCCCGGATATGCACCAAGTTGTAGGCCCCCCTTAGGTCTAATTTGGTGAAAATTTGGGCCCCTCGCAAACGGTTGAGAAGCTCCGGGATGAGGGGAAGCGGATAACGGTTCTTGATCGTGATGTTGTTCAACGCCCGATAGTCGTTGCAAAGCCGCAACTCCCCTGACTTTTTCTTGACAAACAAAACTGGGGCCCCAGCCGGCGACTGTGAGGGACGAATGAACCCCTTGCGTAGGTTAGTATCTAAAAACTCCCGGAGAGCCGCCAACTCTGGTTCCGAGAGAGAATATAATCGCCCACGCGGAATCGGGGCGCCCGGGATCAAGTCAATAGCGCAGTCGTACGGCCGGTGTGGAGGAAGCCTTTCCGCCTCCTTCTCGCTGAAAACATCCCAGAAATCTTGGTATTTGGCGGGCAACTTGCCCGTGGCTTGTGCGGCGACCTCTGCGGTTTGACACTTCCGCTCCCCGCCGCAATGTTCTTTGCAAGAGGCCAAAGTGAACTGTAGTCTTTTCTGAGCCCACCAAATGGTCGGGTTGTGCTTGGCCAGCCATGGAATTTCCAACACCACGGCATGTGGAAGGTCCGTGACCAAAAAAGAGACCTCTTCCTCATGGTCCCCGACTTTTATCAGTACGGGCGCTGTATAGCGAGCCACCGGCCCGGCTTTCAGCAAACGCCCATCAAAGTTTTGTACATCCCGGGGAGGCTGGAGATCTAAGCATTGTAATCCAAGGAACTCCACAAACCGATTGTCCATGAAATTGTTTTTGGCCCCACAGTCCACCAGCGCGTGCACCTCCGTGGGAGTCTTTTGGGCCACACAAAATGAAACCAAGAGGA